AGTGGTCACTATAGGCAGGTGATCTTTATATAGAAGTGGTCACTATAGGCAGGTGATCTTTAAATAGAAGTGGTCACTATTGGCAGGTGATCTTTATATAGAAGTGGTTACTAACACAGGTTTATCTATATTTTCTGAACTGTCTTATTTGCTCTATTAGAAGCATATCTCTAAAAGTAGCGCATGTAATTCGAAAATATTATCAGTATGCGTTTATTTTATAGACAGCGATATTTATTTGTGTTGCAGAGTTTTAGTTATAAGGCCAAATAAAATCAATAGTGTGTTTCTGGTAACATTGAAAACAGAAGTAGGTTGGTAGGAATAACTTTTTATTTGAAGAAAATTCATGCTTGGCCTATATGCTGTTATACAGGAGTAATTGTCAATAATACACCATATCTTGCATGTACAGATTGACATTTTGGTTCAAAAATGAAAGGTGTACCTACAAGTGTCCAGTTTGGCTATAAAAGGGTCAAATCTGCGTTTACCAGAAATGCATTATTTCTTTTTATTCAACCCAAAATGCAAACATTTTAGAGTTATTTCATCCCGTGTGAATACATATTTGTTAATCTATTTTGAATATGACTATTGGTGTATTAAGTGGCATTAATTTGGCTAAAATTAAAGGATACATATCCAATCTAAAATTACACACCTTTAATAAATACATACAGTGTATATGATGTTAGCGCCATGTAGAAATTGTATCTCTTCCAATATAAATGTCTACAGTACAGAACACTGTGAAATTATGAATCAGAAAACACTGCCACTTTATTTCAAATAATATATTGGTAGTAATGTGTCTTGTGTTTTGACTAGCTGAAGACATCAAAAAGTCATTGGTAGCTTTTGCAAGCATTCTGTTAGTAACCTAGAAGTAGAAGTTGAACTCTGCACAGGATTATTTTCATGATGCTTTGTAGTCTATTTAAAAACAATGTTATAGAAATCCTTATGGCATAAAGTTGCACAGCTATCCTGCCTGTGTGGTTGTAATATCAATACATTTAAGTAGTCCAGATCTCAGATAAGCATATATGTAGCATAATATAACTACTTGTATTGTATTATTATTGTTAATAACTATTGAATGTCTTCCACCTTGAAATCTAACTCCCTATCAGACCTACTTAGCACCAGAGTTATGGATGACTGACTCTAAAATAAATAGCATGGGTGATTGATAATAAACACCTCAAATAGTAACATGATTTATTTTGTATTTCTCCTTTGACACCAACTCTTATTGTTTTTCATGTAGGTTGGTCTTTTCACTGAGATTGGACCACTTTCCTGTTTTGTATCCAGACATGTGAGTCCTTTTTATGTTTATAAACAAGAACGTATTGTATCTTTTCATGATTTTTTAAAACCAAGGGTGTGACAGTAGTTTCTGGCACAGCGGATGTGTATCCAAAACCAAGTTAGGCATTTCAAGTGCCTCTTTGTATTTCTACTAATTGATACTCTAGTTTAGTTATTCAGTAAGCTGCCACCCCCTGCCTGTTCCACTCAATGTTTATAACTTAGCTGTAAAATGTGTGCCATTCTGAAACAGAGGTTTGCTGCTGTATGGTGGCAAGTGTTAACTTCTGTAAACACAAGCCTTTGACTGTGTTTAGACATCAACAAAGCATTAATATTGTAGTAATTGTAAACCAGTATTCTCGTGTTTTAAACATCAAGATCATTATCTCATTATATAGTCACTAGCAAGTTACTATAAACTACGAAAATTAGTATGTTGATATTTTGGTTACCGGTAATATATGTAGCTTATTTCCCCTCATGCTCTTGTGGTCTAGTGTCAAAGTTCAGATATTTTATTTTTCATGATTTATCTAATATTCAAGTTTAAGAAAAACATATAATAGTTTATTTTCTTCTGCTTGCAGTCCATTCCATCAGATATGGAGTTTGATCCCAATTCCAATCCCCCATGTTACAAGACACAAGATGAGGTAAGTAGTTAAAATTCATGGACATTATATATGTCAAATTTTCAATCCCATATTGTACTTGAACCCGGACTGGATTAATTATGGATTATTTCTGAGTTCCGCTAAACTCCTCCAACTGATAGTTTATATGAATGGTATATAATGATGTCAGAAGATGATGTGATAAGTGAACCTGAAGTAACCTTGGTAACCATCATGTTATTGTTTTATAGGATGTTGTCATACAACAAGATGATGAAATTAGGTTAAAGATAGTAGGAACAAGAGTAGATGCTTCAGATATCGTAAGTGATAATTCTTCAATATCTCATCCTTTTATATTTAGCAACAACAAGTTGACTGTACTACTGTATGTATTCTAATTTTGGTGTCACTCTAATTTAGGCATCAGTCGAAAGTGAAAGGCATTTAAAACAGTTAACATCTTAGAGTAAAAAAAAATATTTTAATGTACATGTAATATGGTAATTTTGTTGGTAATGAAAAGTGTTGTAATATACATTGGTTTTACTGGTAATTTTGTTGGTAATGAAAAGTGTTGTAATATAAATTGGTTTTACTGGTAATTTTGTTGGTAATGAAAAGTGTTGTAATATACATTGGTTTTACTGGTAATTTTGTTGGTAATGAAAAGTGTTGTAATATACATTGGTTTTACTGGTAATTTTGTTGGTAATGAAAAGTGTTGTAATATAAATTGGTTTTACTGGTAATTTTGTTGGTAATGAAAAGTGTTGTAATATACATTGGTTTTACTGGTAATTTTGTTGGTAATGAAAAGTGTTGTAATATACATTGGTTTTACTGGTAATTTTGTTGGTAATGAAAAGTGTTGTAATATACATTGGTTTTACCGGTAATTTTGTTGGTAATGAAAAGTGTAGTCAAACTACCTACACTATGTTTGCTTTATTAGAAGCAACACATATACCAAAAATTGAATTTATTGTATGCTGTATCACTAATTTTGGCCATAGACATATCTGCCTTTTTACATACCGGCACCTGTGCAAACACGGTACTCACTTCTTTCAGTAGACTGCAGATTTAAAGTGGAGTGCATTCAACATAATTCTCCAGGTAGTCTAAAGGAATTCCAGATTGGTAGACAGTTTTACCTGTGGCCTGCTGTATGCATTGTTGTATATTCAGGGGTCTGATAAAACCATGTCCAGTTACTTGACATGAACCCTGAAATCAATATGTTCTGCAGATGCTGTACTAATCACATCATAATCTATAAAATGATTTTTTTTTTTTTTTTTTTTACAGTTTGCGATAGGATCACTTATGGACGATTACCTGGGTGAGTATTCACTTTGTATTCACATTAAGTATTCAATTTTAACTATAGAGGGAGCTCTAACATTCCTGATATGTACATGTGAGCAACTAAACATAATTGAGTGTATATGCAATAATGTCTTGGGAAGAATGATAAGGGATGCATACGAACAAACAATTTTTCCAAAATCTAGTAAGGTGTTAATCTAGCATTCCAAGTAACAAGTGAATTTGATTTAAAATATTCTATGAGAACTTGAGAAATATTACCAGAAGGAATTTCAGACTTTGAGAGGAAAACTTGTGATGTTGTTGAGTGGTTTTATGATCTCATTCTGGAAGCAGTTTAAACATTAGACAAAATATACCAGGGTTCTTGAGATTGTGCCAAAAGCCCAACGAAGTACAAGGAATTGAAAACTCAGCCAAAACAAAAACTTGTTTTTGATACAACTGATTGACTTTTTATTTTTATTTCCAGGTCTTGTTAGCTGAATTCTCTTTTATACTCCACCTACCTTATTGGACAACTTTATGTATATTTCAACAATTTTAAAACTGTTTTTGTGTAGATGTAGATATTTGTAGCTATAGTCAAAAAAATAAAAACATTTTTTTTTTTATATAATATTGGTTGTTCTAGCTTTTAAACATTTTATAATTGTTAAATTGTATGCAAATATGATTATATGATATACAAGTAACTTTCTTGTGGTGTAATTATTGGAATAGTAGTAGTGGTACTCCATTAGCTCATTGGGAAGGCAGTGAAGCTGAAATTATGAAGAAATGCAATTTTATGCATGTTTTACAGCACTGATATAACAAATACAAACAACAATACAAAAACAACATGCACGAAAAATTCCCTTTCATACTAGACGATTGTTGGCTTCCATTGTCCATTTGAAAACATCTTTTTCTGCAGTGGATTGCATATTTGAGTGTACAATGAAGAAGATCAAATTAGTTTCAAAATGCATCAGTGGAAAATTGAAAATTAGGATCAAGAATGACCTAGTAGTACTTTTGATGTACCTATGTTAGCACTATACGATGATGCTTACTAGAGGTTTCATTATCAGACTTAAATGAAGAGACGTTTAATTCATTGAGCTGTACTTTTTAGTCCCCATTGGTCAAAGTCTGAAACAATTCTGTCTGTCTGCCCTCCGTCTATCATTGTATCTCCAACATTTTGTTCAAAGTTGATTTGAAGTAAACAATGGGAGTCTTTGCAGTTATCCTGTCTGTGTATATGCATAATAATCATTAAAAAAATTTTTACAAATATCTGGACTACTAATCATCACATTTCAATGAAACTCGGTAGATAGATGCTCTAGTACAACGCAAAGACCTGATTTGTTTTAGGTTGAAATTAGTGCATATTAACTATCGAACTATTCATAATAGGTGCTCTGTAAAAAAAAATCAGACTGCAAACCACTGATGTACAATTTATTGTAAAGTATACTTCAATACTGTGAGTCCCATTGTTTTAACATGCAACTCGAATAGCAGACAAATAGTTGCCAGCTTTTTCTGTGAAAGGCTAATATTCAATTTTGAATTAATTTTAAATATTCCCTATTTTTACTTCATGCGCCTCCAATACTTCTTAGCACACAGTTCTAAGTATTCTTTGATTTCTTTTGGTTGCCCTTTAGGAATTTTTGGCATAAACAGTCTCAGGCATGTCTTGGCCAGTTTTATTCAAACTTGGCATGAACGTAATACATGATGGATTACTGATGCACACAAGTTTTTGTAATTTGATTCAAACTTGTTAACAAGCAGCCATATTTATTTTATTTTCAGACATGTTTCAATTTGACAACACGTTTTGTTATTACATTCAAAATGTCAAACTGATTTATGTGTGGATTGTGCGATATTATTCCTAGGAGTTTCACTTTGGAATTCAAAACCCAGATACCGCTTGTTTGATTGTGATCATCTCCCTAAAACACAGTAATTTGGTTATCATGCAGTGCATGTTTAAATTTGGTGTGAATGATGTATTCTAAACCTTTTTATATATCACATGGGACCTATATCCAAAGTGACATTGAGCCACGAACACTGCTTGCCCTTTAACCTTGTACAAGAGAAACACTAAGTACACTCTCTCAGTTAACTTATTCCACTTTTATTCAAGTTAGCAATCCTCAGCAACTCAAAAGTTGGACATTTTTGAGGGTTTGTTGTAATCATGATCTGTGCATGGAGATATATCTGTTTATACTTCCATAATCCGTGTATCAAGATTGCCACAATAGGTGCAGATTAAGACTTTCTTAAGTACAGAAGGCAGGATGAGATAACTGCAGACAGAATACATGAAATGTGTACAAACATACTATACTCTGGATTACAGTGATTGCTTGAACCATGGAGGTACTCTGGTTTACCTCCATGCTTGAACCAACTACATGTGCTAAATCTGCATAGAATTGTGACACTATAATCTGAGTAGTTCCAAAGGTTAAACAAATGGTAATCCAAGTGCTTTGTAAAGAAACCCAAACTCCAGTGCAGTCTGTAAAAGTAGAAAAACAAAAAAAATGTAAATAAAACTGAACACATCTTGGAGATCTTGGTTGTATAATGCGTTTGCGGAACAAAAAATTGATTAAAATTATTTCATAAAAATTGTGGCACTCAAAATGTTGAGTCATGGTAGTCATTACTCTATTGATGTTGATCACCCTAATTATGTTGTATAAAATAATCTGTTTACAATTATGCCTTATCTGACTGGTACATACCGGTAAGCACAAATTACCTACACTAAATTATATTAATTTCATTATAGCAGATCAAGTCCAACTTGTTTAGCAATTCTTGTTTCAAAATCCTTGATGAAGTCTACAAATAATTCACTCATCAGTGTAACATGTGTCTTGTTGAGCTTTATTTGAAAAATATCAGTAACATTTACATACCTGTTCATACAAGTCATCATCATCAAAATGTCCATTCCCAGTAACCTGTAGAAGTAACGTGTCTTGTTTATTTGAGTTAGTTTGGTTAAGATAATGTCGTCTTTTGGCAGTGTATTTCAATGGCATCCAATAGGGTACCCTGGTATCATTCATACTTGCAGTTAACAGCATTGAAGGGTATTCCTTTAGAAAAACAAAGAAAAAAGTTTAAAACATAGTAAAATTATTGTGACCTTGCCTCAATGTTTAAAAATACTAGAATGAACGTATTGGTACACTCTATAACAAATTTGCTGTAAAAAAACTGAACATGTCTACAAGCAATTTTCCAATGTGTATTTAATATAAACGTATTTAATACCTGATCCGTAATATTTTGATATGGACAATAACTGTCAATATAATCAAGTATATTCCTATCATCCAGTGGATTACCAAATTCTTCATATTCTTGGGAGGTCAAAGGTTGCATAGGATCCAACATAGTGTTAAGAACATCAACAAATGGTACCTAGAAAATAAAATCATGATCATGATACAGTACATCATTTAGACTGCCTAATTTCATAATAGTGAGGCCAATAGTTGGCACAAATAGAAGGCTAATATTACATACTTTTAATACAGCAGCTTTGATTAGATGTGGTGATCTATTACATACTGTTGCCATTAGTAACCCACCAGCACTTGTACCACATACAGCTGTTTTACCTGCACAGGAATATCCAGCATCATGTAGATGTTTAAGACAAGCTTCAACATCCTAAAATAAAGAAGATTAAAATCTCTATCTTAATTCAAATCTGTGTCAAAATTTATCGGCTCTATGCAATTTCATACCTGAATAATAAGATATCAGGGAAACAGGAATATTTATTTAATATGTAAATTATATAACATTTTATGCACAAATCTGTGCCCATAATTCTTCTGAAAGCAAAGGCTGAACTGAAAAGCAATCATGAAACGGATTACCTCAAAACTTTTATGTTTCTTGTTCAGTCTACCTTCACGATACCACTGTCTTCCCATTTCACCACCACCCCTGAGAAAATGAATATAAAAATGAAGACTTCAAATTGTGGAATAAATAATGTAATTATTAATTACATGTACAAGTTTTTAGCTCCGCTGTCGTCTTTGTCGAGCGGAGCTTATCATATGAGTAATTGTCCGTCGTTGTCGTCCGTCGTCCGTGTCAATGTTTTACTTTTTCGACTTCTTGAAAACTACAAGCCTGAATGCTTTGATACTTGGTGTATATGTACCTTGGGTAGACCTCTCTTAGGTTTGTTCATTTCATGTTGATATCTTCAATTCTCTAATTTTGGTGAATATTTTTGTCATTTTTGGTAAAAAGTGATATTTTCGACTTCTTGTTAAAAACCGCAAGTGCAATTGCTTTGATATTACATATATAGGTACTACATGTGGACCTCTCTCAGATTTGTATATTTTGTAATGATATCTTTAATTCTCTAATTTTCGGTGAATATTTTTATCATTTTTGGTAAAAAGT